GTGCTTAAATGTAAGCCAAACCCATTTTGTACAGGGACAAAGAAAACCTTTCAATAAACAAAACATTACCCGCCACATATCTGACTCACTAACGATTTAAAACAACTATTTTCATTAATTTCAGATGGAACTATTCACATACTTGTGTTATAATATACTAATTTATAAATAATATTCACCACTGTCGGGCGCCATTTACTTTTTTCCTCTGAGCATAGAGCAGCCGGCATGCATGGACTCGCAATGAATCACAGGATACCCAAGGCTATGTAGGATACACCGGACCTGTCCTTCAAAATGGGATAAACGGAAGGCTGCATTTCTTGGCCACATAACAAGCGCTATTACGTATTCGGCCTACCAACCTGGCCTTCAGAGGACGCAGCCGCTGAATTCAAATTCAGCAAATTCTGATTATCTTAGCAATCGATTCATGTATACATTTTTAAATGAAGGAACATGTAAGAAACAGAATTAAACATTCCCTAAATAGCAAAATTGGACACAGGAACCACTTATGTTTGGACCATATTAACACCATGACCTACTAGCTAGCTCATTCGTAAAAAAAAAAATCTGTGGACTCATCTCAAAATATAAACATCTAATTAAATACCTGCTGGTCCACATTTTCTGACATTACTTTCCTTAAAATAATTTTACTAACTGCAAATATTAAATAAGCTGTAACATTTTTACAAACACCATGCAACTGTGTAAGAAAGTGCTAGATTTTATTTTCATTACAAAGTCCATGCAACTATCAGCTGTTTGAAAAGTTTTATTTTTATCTTTCATTTTATTTTTTGATATCTTTATTTTCAAGTACAGTTTGACATCAAATGTTTTTAATCATTTAAGAATTGCAGGAGGCAGATCATGATGAGCTGAACTAACTTTGCGAGTAAAATGGGTTATTGTTTAATTCCTAACCATGAAAATTATTTTCCAAACAAGGCAAAGAAACCTGAAAAAGGTGCGCTATTAAAGATATTAATTAAGTGTATTAATTACAGGGATTTACTGACATAAATAGTATATATAATCTATATATATGTTATCAATTATGACCTATAAACTCAAAGACTCAATCTTTATGTTTGTCTTGCCTTAGAAATTGTCATTTGTGGTGGCAGACAACTTTGCGCTTCGGCAGCACGGAGCTAGTAAGAGAGCTGAGGAGTACAGCAACAGTTTGGGGAGACCTGCCAGTACACAGCTCTAATGGCCCGGAAGAGGCTATGAATGACCCAGGCTATCTAAAGAGGCAAACTGCGATGGATTCAAGCAGAACAGTGGAAGATGATATTAGTTTACCGGGTGAAAAGAGGTCCAAAGGCAGGGGAAAATAGATATGGCTTACCGGAGGAGGATAGAGTGACATCACAGGAGCAGCCAGAGAGACAGCGTAGGAAGAGACGACCGCAAGCCAATGCTGGCATTTAGAGGCTAACTGCTGGACAAATGGACAGAGGGCCAGTGAGGATCACAGGAGCATGCAGCTCAAGTAAGCAGAGGAGCATGATGAGGGAAGAACCAGCTGGTCCGTGTCTGCGCTGGAGGTAGGATACCCAAAGGTCTTTCTAGGGCTAAACTAAAATGGCTTTGTTAAAAGCTTGATGCTGTGATTCTCACGGCTCAGAAGAGAGGACCCCCGTATTCAAGGAAGACACACAGTGGGATTATTCAAAAAGCATTTATTTTAAAAATCAAATCTGCGGTAGCAGCAGCTACGGTTTCTAAGGCAGGAACCTCTGCAGGAGAGAAACACAGGTTAGTGACCATGATGTTCTGATGCACGTGAGTCACTAACTAGGTTTAACAGTTCAGTCCATGCCCAGAGAAGGAGGTAGGATCCTGCTGGTGGGCAGCCAACAAGATGCGGCAGCACAGCCCAGAGTGTCCCAGACGCTGCAGCCCCAGAGGACGGAGAACAAGCAGGAGACAAGATCCGAGCAGACAAAGGAAGGCAGGGAAATCTAGAGGCCGAAGCTAAAGCTGGGGTTGAGGATGTGCTCAGGATTCAGAACCAGGAGATCAGAAGTCCGAACCGGTTTTGAAGGGTAATCCAGGTTTGTGACAGAAAACGGCTCCCGGTTCAGCAAACATGCAGAATCCAGCAGGAGTCCAAAGAAAGTTCAGACAAACAGATCAGAGGGGAACGGGCAGGCTCAGTTGTTGAAAGGCAGAACTGGATTAGGTAATCAGAAACACTAATGTAATGCTGGAACGGTCTCACCACTGACTCAATAATAATCTTGCCTGACAACTGAAAGCAGACTGGAACTGGCAGGCTCAGTGGTTGTGAGGCAGAACAGGAAATCAGAAACACTAAGGTAACACTAGAGACACTCTCCCCACTGTCTCGAGAGATAAATCTGGCCCTGATAACTGGTAGCTGGCAGCTTAAATAGAGGCAGGAGCAGGTGGATCAGATGAGCAGTACTGAGAAACCGGGCAGAGTTAGACAAGTGAATGAAATGAGTAATTAAGCCAGTCATCAGTGCCAAGATCATAACAGCAATCTAAAGCAGGTGCCCTTCTTCCTTCTAGTTACTATTGAATAAAGGCTGCAACTGCCACAAAAACAGAAAACAATTGTTTACAATTTATTATATGGTTCTGCCAGAGCCTTACGAGAGCCCCACTGATTCCTTACTGTTACTTTCACCAAGGAGATTATGGTAAATGGTAAATGGCATGTACTTATATAGCGCCTTTATTCAAGTTAGGAGACTTGACCAAAGCGCTTTACACTACATTAATTCACCCATTCACGCACACACTGATGGTGGCAAGCTACATTGTAGCCACAGCTGCCCTCAGGCTTACTGACAGAAGCGGGGCTGCCGTACACTGGCGCCACCGGGCCCTCTGACCACCATCAGTAGACAATGCAGGTGAAGTGTCTTGCCCAAGGACACAACGACACTGAAAGTCGGAGTCGGGGCTTGAACTGTCAACCCTTCGATTTCGATTTTCGATTTTGATTTCTACTCCTACATCCAACACCACTATCGCCCCCTTATTATGTTTAGGAAAGCAGGATAAATGTTAACGTTATAGATGGATTAAAATGAAATTGTTACCAGAGGCACGCCTCGTGTCAAGGAACAATTCATTTAAATTTCGTAATGGTCCAGATCATGTGCGAGTTTTAGCTATAGGTTTAAATCACAATATGGGGAGAAATCTCCTGCTTTAGCGAAGGTCTGCTCTCTCAGAGTTTCTAGCTGTAAACGCAGTGATGCAATTATGGATTTTATGTAATTTTTTCTAAAGCCATCTACTTAAAAAATTCCTATAAAAATAACCACAGATGACAACATCAAATTTCATTTCCCTGAGTTTCTGCTGAACAAAATCAGTTACACAACATGATGCCGCCATCACCTTGTTTGACCGTAGTGATGGTGTGTTAAGCATAATGTACTGTATTCTTTTTCTATCACACATACCACCGTAGACCAAAGTATTATATTTTAGTATGATGCAACCAGAGCATCTTATGGCTATTCTTTCAACAATGGCTTTCTTCTTAATATCTAAAAGTTGTTCCTTTCAGAAAAGAGAGTTGTTAATCTCTACAGCTCCTTTAGATTTACCATAGGCCTCCTGCCAGCTTCTTCTATTACTGTTCTCCCATTGGGCATCAGCTGAGGTGGGCTGCATTGTTTTAGTAGGTTTTCAGCCATGTGATACTATTTCCATGGTCTGTGAGATACTCAAAGCATGAGATCATGTTTTATGACCTGACCTTGGGTTAAAGTTCTCCCCAAATTTCAACCTGACCGGTATGCTTTGTTCCTTTGGCTTTCTGAAGCTGTTTGCACACTCTTGCTCTCTTAAAACTCTGCGCAGAATTCAGATTTTACAGTGAAATCATGCTATCCACTCTTCAAATATTTACATACAAGGTGACCTTGTTTGCACCTTCTTTGACTTCTATGCCAATATGTGACAAGTGAATTTCTCCGCTGTGAGATCAATAAAGCTCACCTAATCTAATCTAATCTAATCTAAACTTCTGAATTCCCTTCCTTTCATATGTTTTAAAGGTATCAGAGTAAATGGATTCAACTACAAAATATAGTTTTCCTTTTTTTTATAAAATATTTTTGTATAATTTGTTCTCAAGATCAGAGTTATCCAATTACTTTCTTATGTTATCTATTCGATAAAATCAAAACAAAATAGATTGAAGTTTGTGGTTCAAATATGGAAGGGTTCAAGTAGGATTATTTGTTTTGCAATTGACTGTATCAAAGGAATAAATGTTTTTGACAGATGAGGAGAGGGGTTTAAGAATGTCATTTATCAAACAGCACAGAGACCAATTAGATCCAGGTGTCAGTTCTAATTATAAGCTGATGTTGTGCTAACCATCCACTCACATATTTTTTTTCCCATTCAGCTTATTCTTATTGCTTTTTGTTTTTTAAATAATTCCTCTTCTTTTCCAAAAACCTTATGCCAAAAAAGGAGATGAAGGGCCTATGGTCAGAAGGCGGAAACATATGGGATCAATTGGATTTGGTTCAACCTATAGTAAATATTTCTTCTAGTCAAAAACAGAGGAGAGAGGTTTGCCTCACATGTTATACAAGTCTGCTGTAGCTGTTTTTGATTCCTTTCTTTGTCAGATTTTCCGAAGCCTGGCTTGCCGACTGTGGGTCAATTTAGTCTTGTTGAAAAACAGCCTCTGGGTTGCAAAACCTGCCAGATATCATTTTCTTATTTTTCCTTGTCTAGATTTTTCCATAAACAGCCCCACAGACTGCAGGCTTTGGTTTTGCTTCCAAACATGATCTACTAACCATTTGTTAAGAGTGCTCTCCCAGGGATGCTTTACCTGGACATGCAAAATTAGAGGTGAATATAACAATTTTCCAGGACTCATCAAAATGCATTAATTATTTAAGCGCTTGTATTTTATGATAATGATCCCCCCTTACATTTCACGCCCTGACTCCCATTACTTGAGCCTCCCATCTTCTCCCTTTCCCTCCCCTTTCTCCCTCTGTCTCTCCATCAATACTCAACACTCCTCCCACTCTTTCCTTCTTTCTCTCTGATTTTCTCCAGAGACTTTCAGTGTTTGAACACCACATTGTTCTTACCGCTTGGCCCTCCACTCAAAAAAAGAGAAACACAGGTAAGCTTGCATGGATTTGAGATTTCCTCTATGAATATTTTTCTTTATTCCTGTTTTCCGGATGGAAGTACTGGTGCTGCAGGGCTTTGGCTGATGCCTAAAACAGAGAAGGGAATAATACATCTGCCTGCCAGAAAAACAACTCTTGAATGTTATGATTTAGATTTTGATGGCTAAATATAAAATGTAGATTCTTGAAATGTTTTGCATTTCAAACTAAAGGGAGTAATTCCTAATTGCTTGATCCAGAGACTCTATGAATGTTCAATGGGTCTGTAATTAATCAGTAAAGGAAAACATTATCTGCAGGTTTGATTCTGTAAACATATCCCGAAAAAACACTTTTTTACTTTATTTTTTTTTATGTATCTCAATGCCATTAGCATTGAGATACATTAATGTTTAAAAAGTAATGTTGAAAAAAAAAAGTTTTGTTATTTATTGTTACTTTGCATTTATTTAAATCATTGTTATTTATTTTAGGATTCAAATGCAGTCATTTAGCTTCTTTTTTTCTATCATTGATCAAGAATTATGAGGTTCCAACTACTTTGTATTGAGTCATATGACTAAAATACCAAGAACAGTGGGTGTGGCTATTATGTATATTTAGCATGTTTGACTTTTTTCACCACTGTCAAATGTTGATGTTATTTTATTTCTCCATATGTTATTGTTTATTGCTTTAACATTTAATGTTAACAAATTAATCATCAAAAGCAGCTCTAGTACTTATCTTTCCTGCTAAACCTATTGTTTTGTCATAAAATTATACGGTTCTAATGATACAACTAAAAAAAGATATTTTTTTAATCCTGAAATGTTGGCCAGAGAGGTCAGTCCACAGTCCTTTTGTAAGTACTGTCCAGTAATAAATCAATACTTGATCAGGGATCCTTTGCATGCATCACAGCCCCAATGCAGAATGGCATAGAGGGGATCATTCTGTGGTTCTGCTGCATTGTTCCACTGAGTAGATTTCATCATTCTTTTGACTTTAGCAATAATGGTTACTAGAAACAACTATGTATCATGACTCTTAAAACACTGACTCTATATGCAGTCACCTTCAACCCTTAAATTAGCTTTAATGTTTTTTTTAATATTGAATTTTCCTCTCAAACGTACCTTAGAATGCTTGGTTAGGGCACCCTGTAAACAGCCAACCATTGCAGTGACCTTAAGTGTCTAAGGGCATTAAGTGACTACTAACAGGATCCTCCCCTAGATTGTGTAGGCAACAGCCTGCCCATTTAATGTTTTCTCAGTGATATTAACTTTTAATATCATAACATTATAATATATTAAAATACTTGAAAAGCATAATTGTATAATTAATCTATAAGGAATATGTTCACATTAAGCTGAATTACTATAATAAATAAAATATGTCTCATATTTAATTGTGGAAGAGTATTTTTAATGAATGTTTTCTTCAAATGTCTTCTGTCTGGTTCATGTAACCTTAATGTGTTTTTTTGTCAGCTTTTCTTTCTTTTCTCCTATCCGCAGAAGCCATGTTTCCCCTACGTGTCACCGTCCTCTTAATTCTATCCAACCTTGCCCTGTGCCAGTATTATGATTACGACTACCAGCCTGTTTCCATGCTTGGACCATCAGGGCCAAACTGCAATCAAGAATGCGATTGCCCAATCAATTTTCCAAGCGCAATGTATTGTGATAACCGCAAGCTTAAGTTTGTCCCTATAGTTCCATCTGGCATCAAGTACCTGTATCTCCAGAACAACCTCATTGAAGAGATAAAGGCTGGAGTTTTTGATAATGTTACTGACACCCTGCGCTGGCTGGTGCTTGATCATAATATGATAACCAATGCTAAGATAGAGAAAGGCACAATCGACAAACTATCGGCCCTGGAGAAGTTCTTCTTCAGCAACAATGAAATCACAGAGGCAATTATCCCTCCATCAAAGTCCCTTGAAGAGCTGAAGATGATGCACAACAAGTTGTCCAAGTTTCCCTCTGGACGCTTGACTGACATGGAGAATTTGACCTCTATTAGTCTTCAGCACAATGAGCTGACTTCTGAGTCCATTGCAGATGCATTCAAAGGGCCAAAGAAGCTGTTGTCATTGGACCTGAGTCATAACAAGCTGAAGAAGCTGCCGGCAGGAGTCCCTACTTCACTGGAAATACTCTATGCTGATTATAATGAGATTGACAAAATCGGAGCAGGGTATCTGAAAAAGCTTCCTAACCTTCGTTACCTGAGGGTTTCCCACAACAAACTGCAGGATTCTGGGATTCCCTCTGGAGCTTTAAATGTGACTTCACTCGTGGAGCTGGATCTTTCATTCAACAAACTGCAGTCAATCCCTGAGATCAACGAGCAGCTGGAGCAGCTCTATCTCCAGGCCAATGAGATTAGCAGTAAGTTTATACTCAGTGTTCGAAGATAATTTGGTATAGAACGAGGGAACATATTCAAATACTAATAAAGGACATCCACGTTATTTAACACAAGAGTTCATGATTAATCTTTTACCTGAATTTTGTTAATAGCAACTGGTAAAAAGTTAAAATGAACCCCAGCCATTTTCACAAAGTCATTCGCTGTATATGAACGTCTGCCTCAACCCAAATCCCTCAGTCACCATATAGAGCGGGGACTATATAGTTGACTTTACAGTGAACTCAGTTAATTGATAATTGACTGTTAGGACAGATAATCACTACTTTTCACTCCCCGTTGGTCGCATGACTCTGGCTCCCCACAAAGTGCCAGCTCCTTCTTTGTTATCTGTTGCTGTCGTTGGGTAGTGACAGCCTGTGGTCACATTGTGCCGCTGTGACAACAGATCCCATGATATATCTGCTTGTGTAGTGACCATGGATGGTCACTACGTTGCAAGCTGCATTTTGGGAAATCTCGAATTCACTACTTTTTCATCCACTAGATGCTCAGACACGCATCTAAAATGGCGTAACTACCAAATAATGCCCTATATAGTGATAAGGGCAAACATTCTGACATGGCCATTGATTTTGCACCACTCCCTCTTATTGGGCAATAATGTGGCAATAATGGAAACTAACAGCTCTCCTTTAACTTAAGGATCTTTCCAGCAGAACGTTTCAATGCAAGCTGCAATCTGCTTTAAGGGCTGGGGATTTGAGAAACCCGGACAGGCCAAACAAAAACCCAATCCTAGTCTCAATCACTCTTTAGAAAGGGGCCAGTAGATGAAAAAAAAAAAGCTTTTCCTCCCTTGATGAAGGAAAAAAAGATCATTTAAAATAATGTGTCGAAAACTATAACTTAATAAACAAATAAATTACATCTCAATTGATAGTGGTCAACAAAAACACACCAGTCCACACATCCACTCTCCTGCATTAACAGTCCAACCTTTATTTCATGTATGGCTTTAACAGGTCCAAGCTTTTATCAAAGCAATGAAGTAGGATAGGCTTTAAAGAGCCATGAGAGAAACAATGACATTAAAAATGACCCGACTGTATGGGCTATTGCAGAACCCAGGATAAACCGTGTTTAAAAATGTATCATGTCGTTATCTCAAGATGATGATGTATGTTTCATACATGTAACATCCTGAAAAGAGGAGTTTCTTATCTAGGAGGAAAACAGCTGGATTTATCCATTTAGGCTTTTTTTCTCAAAAAGAGTAGACATTCTTGTGAAATCCCAAAAGAATAAAAGTGTTTATGCCTCAACACAGATCAAGATAATCCTACTATCAGCTTATTAAAGTAGAATATTGAACTAAAGCTTTCAGAAAACAGAACTACAATTGCTTGACCAAACTGAATAGTTCAGTGTTGGTCATTTTAATTTATTTGCAATTTTGAAGTTCTGCAGTTTAAATGTTTAACAACCTGCTTTTTCAGATACATAAAAAAGAGAATACCTAAAAAAATATCAGTTTAACTGAGTAATCATAATCCCTCAGATATGTAAGCTGTTCCAAATAAGAATCCTAACTGATATAATACAGAGAGAAAAAAATATTTAAATAATGACATAGGATTTGTTTGTGGTGTATACGAGATTTAAGCATTACCAACATCAAATTTCTTAAAAGGTTATCAAAATATTTACATGGAACCTGTTTACAATAGCTTTCATTTATTGTCAGTAGCTATATATAAAGTCTATGTTGTGTAGTCAATGTTTTGTTAAAACTGTTTAATTCACATCCAAAATACTGATCATTTAAAGCCATACATTCATCATCAATAACATCATATAGGAAGGATTACAAATTTGGGATAATTTAAATGTTTATCATTTGTTTCTGATCATCCACAGAGTTTGACTTGGCGAGTTTCTGCAAGTTCACTGGACCCCTGAACTATTCACGCCTCAAACATCTGCGTCTGGATGCCAACAACATCACACACAGCGACATGCCTGCTGAATCCGCAAACTGCCTGCGTCAAGCTTCCGATATCATGTTTGAATAAGGACCTCCATCCAGTGAAGGATTCCACCATCTACAGCTATGACAACTTCAACCCAAAGCCTTCTGGATTTAAGTCATTTCGTTTCCAACCTTTTGTAAAGCTCAATGTATGTGCACTTCCTCCAAGCATTATGCAAATATAAAATGTTCATAGTTATTTTATCCATTTCGCCTTTTATCTCTTTAGATATACTTAGTGAATTTTTTTCAAAATATAAAATGAAACAAGAAATGTATAATTTGATCGGAATACAATAAAACAGGAGACACACGCTTTAAACATTCCAACTTTGTATATAAATACACCAAATATTAACATATGGGAATGTGTTACTTTTTTAATTGTCCTAGTTTAGTCAGTTGTTAATGTCATTAAAATATATATAAATATATACTATCAATCAAGAAAAAAACTACATGCTTAGATTTCTGTGTGTAACGAAAGCAAATGTGAAATAGCAGTGCAGATTCATAACAGCTTTATTTTAACTTCTTGAATGTATTAAAGTGGTTAAAAAGAAGGTACCAGTGTTGTGAAATCACAGTTGCCTGCTTTAAATTTAACCCTTTATTATAGCAACAGCTTGAAGCCCAATAACTGTTTTGTTTTGATCAACTGAATGCCTACTGTACATTAAAATAACTTTTTTAAGCAACCAATAAGTAGTATGCTAATGTGCTTAATGTTTCATTCTCTCTGTATACTTGTAATAAGAAATAAATGAATAACCATGTCTGGAGTTTTTTTGTATTTTATTTTATTTTTTGCTTTCAGTAGAAGATGTACACAACGTGATATCCTTTTGTTGCTCAAAATTGTGCTTCTTGCACTGTTTGATATTAACTTAAGCCTTTTTGATCAATCTTTCTCTTGTTTTTAAGTTCTCAGCAATATAAAGATCTGATGCACATTTATGAACTTGTTGCTCTTCCTAGTTTAGTACATTACATTCTAACCAAACCTATGCAACAAACATGCAGTTATGAAACTCGAAATAAAATATGAAAGCTTAGTCTAGATTAGAAATTGCCCAATCTAAATATAACTGATTTTTTTTTATGCATAAAGAATAGGCATCAATTGATTTGGCCTGTATTAGATCAATTTCTCGGAATTTTAGACTTTAGAAGGCCTAAAATGATCTTCCTGATATCAACCACATAAGTTGGTTGGTTATGTAAAAGCTGTCACGATAAAATGCGTCCGCAATCTGAAAAAGAGTCAGAGGATTAAAACATTGACATCAATAGTTGGGCTTGACCTAAACTATTTCAACAGATCTCTCTCAATGCATACAAATCAGACTTTGAAGAAAGCTTAAGGAAATTAATTAATTGGAATAATCTTAAACAGATTATTGTGACGTCAAGAAAACACAAATTTGGTTTGGTCCAATTTAAAATCAAATAAAAGAGTTTTTTTTAATCTTTTATACAGTGTATTTACATACCTTATTGCACCAAGGCTAAATTGTATGTTTGCTGGTTTGATGTCTGATTTCAAAGTGAACGATATATTTTATTTATTCCCTCAAGCATTTTTCTATAAACAGTTGAACAACAAAAATGATCTCAAAAACCACCCTAAGTAACCCTCAACAATCCTTTAAAGGATCAGTAGCTGTCTTTCTGAAATAAGAATTAGGACTTACATTGCCTCCTCTGGGATTATTCTAAATGTCTTTTTTGATTCGCTGTTGTAACCCTGATACCAGTCAGGAGTTAGAAGAAAAATAAATCTACCATCTTCACACCCCCAAAACCCTTATTACATCGTGTAACATGTTTCCTTTAACCACTCTTTCTTATTTCACATGTTTTCATAAAGTCATTTGCACCAACTCTAAATCTAGGGCAATTTCCTCCCTCTCCCTCTGCTGTTGCCCTTATTTGAAATCCAGGAGTAAAGCTCCTGCTGTCTGTGTCTAGACAATAAAGTCCTTCATGAAGAGGTAAGCCTCAAATCTCTTTCCACTTCACACACTGAGTGCACATACAATCAGCTTTTGCGGCCTGGCAGTCCAGCTCCAAAGTTTATTCTTTAGAACAGACCATCTCCAGATGTTCTTCCTGTTGGCACTTATCTTCTTTGTCCATCCATCATCTTTCTCATCTGTTTCTCCTCTTGATTCCAGATTTCCTTTCACTTTATGCTTCTATCATGACCGACTATATTTTCAATCTTTTTCCTTACTTGAATATATATATATATATATATATATATATATATATATATATATATATATATATATATATATATATATATATATATATATATATATATATCCATCCATCCATCCATTATCTTACACGCTTGTCCCAATTGGGGTCGCGAGGGGTATTGGTGCCTATCTCCAGCAGTCAATGGGCGAGAGACGGGGTACACCCTGGACAGGTTGCCAGTCCATCGCAGGGACACACAGGACAAACAACCATTCATGCACACACTCACACCTAAGGACAATTTAGAGAAGCCAATAAACCTAACAGTCATGTTTTTGGACTCTGGGAGGAAGCCGGAGTACCCGGAGAGAACCCACGCATGCCCAGGGAGAACATGCATATATATATATATATATATATATATATATATATATATATATATATATATATATATATATATATATATATATATATATATATATATATATATATATATATATAATTTATTTTATTTATAAAAAAAAATTTCCCCATCTTTTAGCATTTCCATTTGTTAAACTCTGATTAGCCCAAAATAAAATGCAGGCTAATCAGAGCTCAAAGCCACATTTTCTGCACTTTTTTATCATCTACTTCAATATTTGTTTCTCTACCAGCATTACAATCCACCTTACTGAATGGCAAGTTTTTGTACACCTACTTCTTAATTCAACCTTGCTGATTAAAGTTTTAGTTTTTTTTAATGATTTATGTTAATCAGCATTTAGCACACATCTAACAAAAATTCAAATTTCTCCTGTATTTTGTAGAATGGCCTTAAGAAATATGCAAATCGGTCATGACATGATTATAAATCTACCGATTAAATGTTGACGAACACTGTGACCAAACTAGTATAAATGATGATGATATTGTTTTCCTAAAAGTTTGTAGGAGTGACAACAACTTTGAATTTGGTAAAACAGAAATATCTCTTCAAAAGGGTTTAAAGATGGAAATGAAGGCTTGATGTTTCTACTTTACCAGTGAGAAGTTGCTTTTCTTTTTTTCATGTCTTTACCAGTGATCAAACAAAAAAAGTGATGATGATGATGATGATGATGATGATGATGATGATGATGATGATGATGATGATGATGATGATGATGATGATGATGATGATGATGATGATGATGATGATGATGATGATGATGATGATGATGATGATGATGATGATGATGATGATGATGATGATGATGATGATGATGATATTAAAAGGTATAGAGGATGATCTTTTGTTTCTGGGTGGATCATCTAAATAAGTGGTCCTCCTAATTGTAAATCATTTTGGTGATATGTTTACATACTGTAAGGCTGTCCTACATGCTCTTCCCGTTAACTATCTTTGTCTGCGCATGCACACTTTCAGGCATATATGTGTGGTGAGCCACGGTTTCAGACAGTCATTGAAGCTCAACCTTTTTCAATGCGGTTCTTTGAAAATGGCCCGAGGGTCGTAAAAGTAAATGTCAATGAAGTGTATTCGAATAAAAGAAAGGCCTAAGAAGAGGCAGATATAACCCCGAATGCTTTGTGCAGAAAACTCTCCTCACAAAGCATCATGGGATTTGCTGTAACAGCGGCCATAGGCTGTCGCTACCCGACAGCGGCAACTAATAACAAAGATGGTGAAAGCACAGCACAGTGGAGAAGGAGTTACTTGACCAACGGGCAGCAAAAAGTAGTAATCATCTGTCCGAGCGGTCAGTCAACTGAGTTCGCTATAAATTCCACTATATATTCCCCACTCTATATAGTGACTTAGGGGTTAGGGCAGTTGTTTGGACACAGTAAGCTTGTATGAGCAATTAGAACAGCAACTTTTTAACAGAGCGTGCACGAGGAGAAATGGGTTTTGCATGCTCTCACACACGTAAAATAGGCGTTCCCTCTGGGGAGCAGGTACAGGGTTGTACATGGCAGGATGGAGATGGCAGGTCTTTTAAAAAACTCACAAAAATCTTCCACTATACCTTTAAGCCAAAATGAAAAGGAGACAGTATAAGGACTATTAACCCTATTTCATAATTGTCAGGGATTGGTTGTGGTAGAGGACCCAAATGCAGAGGCAGAGAGGCTGAGGAGATTTCTTCAGAGTTTAATGGGGGCAAAAACAGTAACAAAGGCAGGAATGCAAAAATCCAACTAATAATCAAAGCAAACCAGAACTATGGAGACATCTGGGGGAAACCAAACACGAGGAGCCAGGGAGAGACGAGGAACGTGGACAACAGCACGGGAGGACAGCAAAGACAAGGAACCAACAAAGAGTGAGAGCAGAGGGAGAGCATATATAGCTGAGAGAGACAAAGGGAGGGCTAACGAGCAGACAAGGAGCAGGTGTGAGAGGAGACAATGAGGGAGCCAAGGGGCAAGGAACATACACACACAAGAGGGCAAAAGAGGACAACAGAAAAACATGAGAACTAATATAAATCTAGAAATACAATGAAACTGGAATTAAACCAATAAATCTAGAAAACAAGGAGCAAAGTAAAGAACAGCAGAACCAAGACCAGGACAATAATATCCTTTATTCTGTACAAGAGTTCTATTGAAATTCTAAATATTGTGTGATAACATGGTTGCACGAGTTTAAACACCTATTAGGTTATTTTCAGCCTTCAGTTCTGTTTGGTACAAGTCTACTAGCATCCCAAACCTGTTATGACATCACTTTTATAGCTGGACTTTGACTAGGCTGTGTTAGGATATAGGTCAAATTATGTGAGGATCAATGTCTAGTATTTTTAATCCATATACTTTGTTTTTAGGCATTTTTAAAAAGGTATTTTATAAAGACAAAAAGAAACAATATAAAATATTTTGTAGTGGACCCAATTTTAAAAACATACCGTAGGTGCGGCTTAAGTACATATTTTACAAAGAATTATGTTCAAAGAGTACCTTTGGGGGGGGCTTTCTTCTTTATTAGGGATAAAGAAAGACAAGAATTTGCCTTAGGTTGTAAGAAAAGAGGAGCAAGTAGCCCTTCTATAACCTCACCTGTCAGCCTAAGGCCTGTTTGTTAAAAATGAGCAATAAACTGACCCAGCACCCATCCTCAAGAGTTATGGGCAAAAAGCATACCCTTCTTGAAGGAATAAAGGGTTTAGTTGGTTTGGTTTCCAGTATTTTATCTCTCCAGGGCCAACAGAGGGCCGAAGATTTCAGAATAAAATGTAAAAGAGGTGGGAGAAAAACAGCTGGGCTGGCAGAAAAAGTTAAGTGACAATTTCTGAAAGGACATCCCAGCTTACAGTCGTCCTCCCACCAACAACACATGCTCTATCCACTCGGTTCACCCGGTGTGCAAGGTGTTGCATTGGGAAGATCTAACAACAGCAACTAAGGTTCAAGTGCTGTGGAAGAGGACAATCATCACTGGAGAGGAATCATAGCCAGACCTCAGCTGGCTGCAGGCAAATCTTTCACTTCATCTGGAAAACCAGGTAAAATTGATAGTTTATTCAGATATTTTGATAAATACTTGCAAAATGTTGCAGTTGATGTTTTAATGATGAATTAAATGACTGCAGTGATTTTGTTATTTTGTTTCCACTCTTCAGAGTTCTTGCCAAAGCTTAAACATGCATGACAAAAAGAAAAGTTAAATATAATGTGTTTTAGGGATTTTATATACATAAAATGTTACATTCCATTTAGCTTCACTTTGCAAACATACTATTATGAATTTTCCAAACAAGATGGATCAGTATAATTCACCTCTTTACAATAATTACCCATAAACAAAGCTGCCTTCTCCCAACTCTAGATATACTGATCCATGCTAACAAACTCCCACAAACTGCAAACTCATGTGGTGTATTTCAGTAAAGCTATAAAGTGGATACAATTCTGCAAATTCATATTGCACAAATGAAGGCTGCTGTGTAATTACATCTGCTGGCTCACTGTAAAAGACCCTGGCAGAAAATTTGCACTTTGAGAATCCCCAGCATGTGTTTCTCTTTAGTTTCCCAGGCACATTGTTGCCATTATTTGTTTTCAGTAAACATGTGTTTCATTTTACGGGCATTGTAAAGCCCTGACTCACAGTTCGGCATCAAATTTTGCGCACAAGATAATTTTCTAGTCAGATATGCCGTCAGTTCTAGCAGCTCTTTGCTATTTTATTCAATCAATGTACATTACTGAAACCCTGATGTTTTAAAACAAAGCAACACTTTGAAGTGTATATGTTTTCCCTTGGAGATACCAGTGAAAACATTCATAATGTACACATGGGCCATGCGCTAATATTGTCTCTTGAAGAGATGATTAAACCCACATGGCTTGAAGATAATCATTGTGCTTTGTCATGATAAAAAAAAGTATTAAAACCTGTCTACTACTACTACTGTTGATATAAACAAAATCCTATTTTGGGTTAACAATCCATTAGGCAATCTGCAGAGTTTGTGCAATTCAACTATCAATCAACATAAATACACCATAGGAAGTAAAGTAGAAACTTTAATGGGCTTGCACTGCTGATCATGGATAAGTGTTGCTCCTAAGCTCACAGGTAGGCGAGGATTATCCTGCAGCATTTACGCCTTTGCCATCATTGACAGAAACTGGCACAGTCCCATGCCTGCCTGTTGAAAGGCCAGTAATCCTGATGTTATCTGGCTTCTGCACGACAATTTATATTGCATTCTTGTTGCAAAATCTTTTTACAGTTAGTGTAACCTCTGTCTTTTAAAACCTCTTGCACCTACAGCTAATATTTTTAACTTTCAGCATTGTTGTGAGAGGAATAATGATCTCATTGCAGCATAGATCAACAATGTGCAGTCACGCTCCAAAATACTCTCAGTGAAAATCTTCAGGCAAAATATATTTTATATCCAACTTATTTCAGCTGATCTAATGCCAGTTCAAAAACGTCTTTTTAGGTCATCTTACATGACAAAAAACAATAAAAAAAATTATATGAAATCCTGTGTAGACAAATTGAATTATAATTAATCTTCCCAATTTGTATTAATTATATGAATTTAGATAAGACTGAATTTATTCATATACACTCCTGTTCAGTAAAACTCATTAAATACTATCTAATGAGTTACATAAATTACATATTAAGTAAAGTATCAGAAGGGGTCCTACCAAGTGCATCTAGTCACTGACTTTGCAGCAATCAACAACCCAAGCAAGCTCGCCCTGATTGTAGGGAGGACCCATCAACCTTTATGAGAAGAAACCTCCAGCAGAACCAGGCTCTATATGAGAGGTCAAGTGTTGATCAGGGGTTCTCAAGGAGTTAAGGGCAGTAATAGCCCATTCAAATCCTAAATTAACAAAATAATAAAACAAAAACAACATAAGCAAAACTAAAGATAAGAAAATGGACCAGGAACACTCAATGTGGGTAAGGAGAACAAAACAAGTATGCAGTTATTAGCAACCATTATTCCTCAAGTGATACGTCCCATAAAATGGGCAGAGGTAATTACAGTATGACTGAACAGTGGGTTTCAAACTGACTTTAGACCCTTAATTTTCATTGTTGTAAGCTGTAAACTTTTCCAACTTGCAGGGTAATTTACCCTAATTGTACTGTCAACATATGACGCACAAATGTAGCTCAAATGTCGATAAAGGACATTGGATTAATTTGTTAAGAGGAGCCAGCATTGGGAGGAAGGACTGTCCATGTGGACATTAGCAGTCCACGAGCAAGAACATCTAGGCAAAGTGGGCCATGTCTCTAAAAGTTAAAAATACTTAACAACCTATACAGAAGATTATGAACCCTCTTGTTGGGTCCACCTGATTGGCTAAGAACAGCTTAAAGTTCATCCTGAGCGACAGGTTGGCACATGTTGAATGAAACAAGCTGTGGTACAAATACAGGGAAGTAAGAGGGGCATCCCTGTCATTTCAGACCACGCTTAATCATTTCCCAACGAAGGACGCTACAAAGAGAAACTTTGAAGAATTAAAGGTAAGAAGAACTTCCAAAGAAAAGAGGTTACTCATGCTTCCATGTGATTATAGGTGAAGAAGTATATTAGAATGACAAACATCAAAATGTTCTCTATGATTTAGTGATAGAAACAGATCTGTTTTCTATTGTTGGTCAGTGTTTTGTCTACCAGGCTACTTGATGCTTGATGGAATTACATCTCTACCATAATGCCACATTTTGTGTACTAAATAAGGGTAGAAAGCTTTAGCCTCTGTAACCACAGGCACAACTCTGAAAGGAGGTGATTCAAACTTTGTCTTTGAAGTGAGCTCATCTGTGGAAAAAGCTTTGCCTATGCAAAATGAGTTCCAGACAATCCTGCAGCGCATCAAGAATTTAAACAAGCACCAGATGGCAGCTAAGACAAGTCAAGCAAAAGTTTAAAAAGGAAGACTGACAGGAGATGAAAAGAAATCCTCCAGATCTTTTCTAATCCTCTTGTAATTTGTATTTTTGAGTTTATGTGAATTTATGTTCTCTGTCACATACATCTAATCCATACATAATGCATATGCCATCAATTGCATCTTTAATTACTTAAGCTGTTCTTAATCAAGATGTTTAGGGAGCATTGTTGTAGCTTTTTATAATTACAAGAAAACAAGGAGCATCTTGCTACTGAAGAGCCAAGAGTAAGTTTTATCTAATGCAAGAGAAAGTTGACAAGGCTCAACAGCCAGTCTCCTGATCTCTGTCTTTGACATCAAAGTAATAACAGAAGAAGAAACAATGACTTTCAGGCACTGTTTTTTTTTATTAGCACTTAAATTAAGCTCTATTTAATGCTGGAAATGTAGACTTTATTCCTCTATACTCTATCAAATGCCTTATGAAGACTCTTCAAAGTTACGTTCTTAAAGAATGTCTTATTGTTCACTAGCCATTAAGCTAATTACATTTTGTGTTTATCTGATCTTTCAGGTTGACATGGCTACCCTCCAGGAGCTTTTCAGTATTTTGTGCCTGATAACTCTAGTTGTCAGCCAGGACATGCCTTACGAGGAACTTCTTGCCCAGATCCAAGCCTGTCCAAAGGAGTGCAGCTGTCCCCCAAACTTCCCCCGTGCAGTGTACTGTGACAACAAAGGGCTAAAGAGCTTCCCTAAAATCCCCCCCTACACATGGTATCTCTATCTGCAGAATAATCTACTTGAAACAGTGCCAACAGATGCGCTGCAGAATGCAACGCAGCTGCGCTGGCTGAACCTAAACCGCAACAAAATTACAAGTGACGGAGTAGACAAAGGTGTCCTGGGTACAATGAAACACCTGGCTCACCTATATATGGATGATAACCTGCTGTCCACTATACCATCTCCACTCCCAGTCAGCCTTGAGCACTTACGTCTCTCTCGCAATCGCATCTCCAAAATTCCTGCTGGAGTGTTTGTTGGTATGGATAAGGTAAATTTGCTAGATCTCCAGGGGAACAAGCTGATGGATGATGCTGTCACTGAAGTGAGCCTAAAAGGTCTTACCAACCTGGTTCAAATCAATCTTGCTAAGAACCAGCTCAGTAATATGCCCCTTGGACTGCCACCCACAACCACCCAGCTTTTTCTAGATGGTAACAACATTGAAAAAATTCCTGCTGACTACTTCAAAGGTTTGCCAAAAATGGCTTTTCTAAGGCTCAACCACAACAAACTTGGCAGCGGTGGTGTTCCAAAAGATATTTTTAATATCTCCAGTATGCTGGACCTACAACTGTCTCACAATCAACTGACAGAAGTCCCATTCATTCCGTCAGGCCTTGAACACCTTTACCTGGACCACAACAAGATTGCAAGTATGTTATAATGCAAGAAAAAAAAATTCGGGGAACCTAAAGGGTTGTTATTCATCTGTCTTATGGCATTTCTATTTGTTTCTTTCCAGGTGTGAATGGCTCCTCAGTATGTCCCATCTCTTTTGATTCTCTGGATGACTCCGTGAATGAAAGTCTGCCAAAACTGCGTTATCTCCGACTGGATGGCAATGAGATCAGTCCACCAATTCCCAGGGATGTGGTCATGTGCTTTCGTCTCCTTAGGTCTATTGTTATCTAACCACAAAGCAACTACGTAAATGTTGCATGCTAATTTGGTAATTCACAACTATTGAAAGGACGTTGATGTTTTTCCAATATATGAGAATTGCAAAGTTTAAGCTAACATCAAGTTTTTCATTGTTACATCTTGGGAAGCCTTTGAAGTGGAACAGGAATTAAATCTAAAAGAAACACACTGATCAATAGTTGTTCTTGATATAAAATTTGCTGACCACTAGTTGTGCCTTATGTCAGTGAAAAATAAACTGTGTGTAGACTTCTAAACTTAAAGATAGTACAGTCTAACAAGTGTAAATAAATACAGGAAGCAAACTGTATGTGTTAATGGAATGTCTAGAGATTTCGGACTGATTTTTTTAAATTGCAAAATCTCCATATTCTTATTTTTCTTTTGCTATTTTGTATTTGTAGGCAGAGGCTAAATAAACAGTCCTGTGTTAAAGGTTTTTATTTTTATTTGCTTATAATAAGAAACTGTCTCCTTTAAATATGTATAAATATATAAAGTTGGTAATTTATTTGTATTTAATATTGGGAAAAGGTGAGTAGAATACTGTGAATACTCAAGGCCAACAATGCTTATTGTTTTGCATACCAACAATGTGAATTATGCCAACTTTTTTTATCCTGGTCTTTTTTTTCCTGAATACACCGAGCAGGAGGTTCCATTTAAATTCTGATAAATACAAATAAAACATCTCAAAATAATCATGTCATACCATGTGATTGTGTCATTATCATGGGTTTTTTTTCACTACCAAAATACATTCACATAAGCATTGAATATCAAACCCATTTAGCCATTCGAGGTGCGTAATATATTTAATTAGACTGTAAACACAATTGATAACCATCATATGCATCATAAGCTAGTAAACAAAGTTTAAAACAAACGTTTAAGATGTTCTTTTTAAGTTGTAGCTGACTATTTGTTCAAAGCCCACCATAGTAGGGATGTGAAATCATTTATCTAATCAATATTTGGACTGATTATATATTGTTCTGTGAGCATGTCATTTAGACAAGGCAGACAACACTGATGTCATGTTCTTCAATTGTATTTAACACAGTTCAGCCCGACTTACTTTGTGAGATACTTCAGAAGACTGGGGTGGAGGCATCAACAATTGCAGTTTGTTAGACTGAAGGATCAGCTGTCTGATCAAGTAGTCAGTTATCTGCAGAAATACTCAGATGAATCTGTAGTCATTGGTTGCATAAAAGATGGACAAGAAGCTGAGTACAACAAGTGGAAGTGTAAACTGAGCTCAAATCATGGCCAGACAGATAACTCTGTGCACTCTCTATGGAATAACTTTCTAATGGTAGTGGGGAAGACACTTATGAAATCTACTGGACCTGCATCCCATGCTTCAAAGTCTCTTTCCAGAGGGCAGCAGAGAGAACCGTGGTGGGGTGTGAGGGGTCATTTATGATATCACGGGCTCCGGACACGCAGCGCTGGGATGAAATGTCTTTAATGGAGGGAAGAGTAGCCCTAATGATCTTCCCTGCTATTCTCACGACTCTTCTCACCTTTTTCCAGTCTGAGGTGCTGCAGCCTCCCCACCACACAGTTAGAAAGCTGGTCGCAACGCTCTCTATGGTGCTTCTGTAGAAGGTGGTGAGGATGGGTGGGGGCAGGTGGGCTCTCCTCATCCTCTGCAGGAAGTACATGTGCTTTTGTGCTCTTTTGACCAGTGAGGTGGTGTTTACTGTACATTCCAGGTGAGGGTGTCTGTGATGTGCACCCCCAGGAATTTGGTGCTGTTGACCACCTCTACAGCTGAGCTGTTAATGAGCAGTGGAGCGTGGTTAGGCCGGTTCTTCCTGAAGTCCAAGATGATCTCCTTTGTGTTCTCAACGTTCAGGATCAGGCTGTTATCTTTGCACCAGTCCACCAGCTGCTCCACCTCCTCTCTGTAGTCCAGGTCGTTGTCATCACTGATGAGGCCCACCATCGTGGTGTCATCTGCAAACTTCACAATGTGATTGGTGGTGAACCTGGGGACACAGTCATGTGTCATCAGAGTGAATAGCAGGGGGCTCAGGACGCAGCCCTGAGAGGAGCCTGTGCTTAGAGTGATGACATCAGAGGTGTTCTGTCCGACCCGGACTGACTGAGGTCTGTTGGTGAGGAAGTCTAGCAGCCAATAGCAGAGGGGTGTATTGAAGCCCAGCTGTTCAAGTTTGCCCATCAGATGCTGTGGGATGATGGTGTTGAAATCTGAACTGAAGTCCAGGAACAGCATCCACACGTGGGTGTTCTTCTCCTCCAGGTGTGCCAGGCTCAGGTGGAGAGCAGCAGAGATGACATCCTCAGTTGAGCGGTTGCGTCGGTAGGCAAACTGGAATGAGACGAATGTTTGCGGCAGACTGGAGACGATGTGTTCTTTAAACAGCCTTTCGAAGCACTTCATCATGATTGGAGTCAGTGTGACAGGCTGGTAATCATTTAGGGAGTTGACCCGAGGCTTATTTGGGACTGGAATAATGGTACTTGAAGGATGCTGGATCTATGGATTGGTCCAGCGAGGTGTTAAAAAAAATTTCTGTGATGACACCAGCCAGCTGATCTGAACACTCCCTATACACCCACCCAGGTTTGTTATCAGGCCCTGGCGTCTTCCTTGGGTTGACTCTCCTCAGAGACTTCCTCACTTCAGCTATGTCCAGATTTAGTGTCTCCTCCTCCTGGTGTGGAACGGCTTTCACTGCTGGAGTGCTGTTTAGTGCCTCAAACCTTCAACAGAAATCTTTCAGTTTATTTAGGAAGTCAGTGTTTGCTGCATCTAATGGGGGGGGGGGCTGGGAGCGTGTGTTGTAGAAAATTGTGAAATTGTCGAGAAGAGCTGTTCTTGGCTGCTGCTATGGAGCTCCGCCATTAGCCATCAGCTCCCCATCAAGAAAAATTCAGTTGCTAATGCTTGAAATTCACATTGGAAAAAGAAATGTATCCGTAAATCAAAGCTTTAAAATGAAATTGTCATGTGTTTTTTCAAAAGTTTTTTTCCCTCAAAATCTTGGTGTTTTTTGCAGCATCATCAATCCTCTTCAGTCAGGCTAGCAGTTTTTTAATTCTTTTACAACTTCTCTTAAAAAGTATTAACTTAAACAAATCTACAAAAACCAGCTTTAAGCATTTCATATTCCAAATAATGCCCCTTCATGCAATCTTTCATCAGTCGCTTTATGAAGATGTAATAGTTCAAAGATAAAATTTAATCCTCCTCATTTAAAAACTTCAAATCAAAAAAAGGCTTTGAATAGAAATCCCAGCTCATATAGCAGGCGCTGACATATTTCCAGCCTCCCCACTCCTTCCTGTGTCTCTCAATCATCAAAAGGTCTAGGGTTACCAGGGGATGAGCGGGAGAGGTTGGCAATTTGAGACAAAACTTAAATGTGTTTGTTGTACACCTGTGCTTAAAAAACACCAAATCACAACATTCTTTGAAAGCTCTTGTTTGCACAACTGATGAGATACCTTAATTATATCAATGTGAACAACTAATTAACTATCATAATCTCTGAAAGATAACTTTCAATTTAACTTTTCCATTGAGGTAACATTCAAGGGAAAAGAAGGAGAGGTTTGGAACCTTTGGGACCATCGATAAGCTCTCAGTTCAAAAACTACCGGCAATGTAATTGTAAAAGACACCTTTCTTTCTACTAACTAGTGCCTTTCTTGAGGCTAATTAATATTTTCTAGAATACAGACACCACGTAAGCACACATAGTAACAATGCTTTTTTGACTGTGAGAATAAGCGTAAGCACCAGAATGTTTACAGTATCAACATGCTAACTCCATGCAGATGTCAAGGCTCAGAACAGAGGAGCTAGTATTCAACAGATATCTCAAAAGTGCTAATTTCAAAATAACGGATCTAAAGTAACAGCAAGGACATCTAAGGCAGGAAACTCTGTTGGAGGAAAACACAGATTAGTGACAATGTTAGTCTGAAGGAGGATGATTATGAACGTGTGAGTCACTAACCTGGTTTACCAGCTGAGTCCAAGCCCAGAGAACGAAGTAGGATCCAGCCGCTAAGCTGAAAACTAGATACAGCAGGCGCTGCCCTGAGAGTCCCAGATGCCATAGCCCTGGAGGACGGAGAACAAGCAGGAGACCTGATCCAGGCATACGAAGGAAGGCAGGATAATCCAGAGAGCGAAGCCAAAGCCGGGGTTGAGGACGTGCCCAGGATTCAGAACCAGGAGATAAGAAGTTTGAAGAATGAAAAATGTCATGAAAGCTGTACTAGGTATACAATATTACAAAAAAAGTTGTCTAAATCTAACGTGAATGAAATGAGTAATTACGCCGGTTATAAGCGCCAAGTCCCAGACTAGGTCTTTCTGCAGTCATGTCAGTGTGATTAGTCCTGGCTTTGACTTTGCAGAGTTTCTTTTTGGGTTGGCCAGCTGTATCTGTGTCTCTTTTTTCTGAGATAAGCTTTACATGAAGACTCTTCATCAGTACCTTGTAACAACTCTTCTCTTAGTTGTTACAAGGTACCGAGCAGCCAATCAGAAAGGATTTTGGTTTAACTAAAGCAACAAGATAAAATGGAAAATTAATAATGTTAGCAAATACTAATGTATCAAGGAGCTAAACAACTATAATGGCTGTTTTGTCATGATCTCGGCGCTGGTGTCTGGTCTGATTTCTCATTTCACTCATCTGCTTATCTCTGCCCAGTTCTCATTACTGATCATAGGATCCACCTGCTTCAGCGTCTTTTTAACTAGCCTTCAGACCAGACGTCAGTGCCAGATTATTTGAGCCTGCCTGTTCCTGTTCTGATCTGTTCACCTGACCTGTCTTTGGACTCCTGCTGGATTTCTGTCTGTCTATGAAACAAACCTAGAACTGTTTCCTGACTCCGTTCTGGATTTCCTGTCCTCCTAGCTTTGACTTGCGAGCACGTCACCGACACTGGCTTTGACTTCGCCCTCTGGATTACCCTGCCTTCCTTCTTCTGCTCGTTTCTGATCTCCTGACTGTTCTCCAGCCTCCAGGACATTAGCGCCTGTGACTTTCGGCGACCCCCGCCGTGTCTTGTTGGCAGTTGACCGGCTGGAATCAACTTCATCCTCTGGGCACGGAGTGAAGTGTAAGATCAGGTTAGTTACTCACTCGTTTATTATCATCGTCTGCCAGATAGATGTGGTCATTAACCTGCTGTCTCCTCCTGCACAGGTTCCTGCCTTAGATGCCAATGCTGTTTGCTGCAGTTCCGTTGCTAAAAATGTTTAGAAAAACATAATTGTCTGCATAGAATCATCGTTTTGAGCCTCAAAGAACTACAATATCACACAATCATTGAGGAATTATTTTAAAATATATAGTTTATTTAAATTTGATTAAAGAGTCCTGCAGGGCTCATTGGAATAGCCAAGAAGGCAAAGAGTGCAAATTAACAGGTTTATGTGTTACTATGCCTCGTCAATGAAAAGATTTTTTTTAATTTTGAGTTTTCTTGGATGTGAACCCGGTTTACTGACCATGGATGCTGCAAGGATAGCTCATATTAATCTGTAAAGGAAGGAGGGTAGAGACTATCCTCTGAGCTGGGACTTCCTCTCAGCACCATGCTAGCAGGGAGTCCTTACAGAGGTCCCATTGTGTACAAGGGCCTCATGGATCCCCCCTACATGAAAGTAACACACTCTAGAGTTTCACCTTGGGAACAGAAGGACAAATATTTCTGTCTGATA